TATGTATTCTATTTTTCAGTTGTTGGGTGCAATACACTATTGGAATGGTGATTTCTTGTTATGGACTGAAAATTTTATTCTTTTCATGTACTTGTCAGCAGTTTTAACATATTATTACTACACTACACAAGTTGAAGAAAAGGTACTTACGCAAAATTGTTGTTAAATGTCTAATTGTTCTCATGTATATAATTTTAATCAATTATAAATTTTATTTCTGTAAAGCAACGCATATTTCTTAGGACTTTAGCAACTATTTGGATATCACTTGATGGTCATCATGAAAAAGCTATTGTGATGAAACATGCGGATTTTGGATTATATTTGATAAAGCTTATATCTTGTCATTATTTAATAATAATTTATTGTATATGAAAGTAAACTTTTGAATGGTGTTTAATTATAATTATTTACAGATTTACTGGTAATAGGCATGATAATGGCTGTTCAGTCATCGTTAATACCAGTGTATTTAGACTTGATTATACCGTTAGATGAACCTCGTCCAAAGATTTTCTTAATAAAAATATATTTTATTACGGATCCAAACAAACATTATTATCCACATTATTTTGCATGTTTGGCTCTTATGACTCTAGCTGATTACATCGTAGTAACTGCTGTTTTTTTTTTTTTAAATTTTATGATGCAAACAGTTGGAATATTTAATGTTATTAAGTAAGATATCAGTTAATTAAAACGTTAAGTTATGATAATTTGACGTTTAAAAAAACAATTTTCATTCTTTAAAATCTTGATTGTAAATTTTTTTAGGTACCGAATACGAGTAGCCTCGATAAGAATTGCAGAGAATCAGAAAGAAGCTTATAACATGTTCATTTCTTCTATCAAATTACACCAAAAATGTTTAGAGTTAAGTATAATACTGTAGTGTCTGCACTGTAAATATGTAAATAAGCATCTGATAAACACACTGATTCATTACTACCCAGTTTTTTAAGAATTTTTTAATCAAAAGCTTAGAACTAATACGATCAGAACCTCGATCAGAACAAAAGGATTCAAGGACGATAAATATCTTGTATCGAAGGTTTTAATTAATTAATAGCCTTTTTAATTTAATAATAGCTATTTGAATTAATTTTCCGAAAACATCTTGTAACAAAGAAAATTTTGATCAATGAAAAAACGTAAACTTGGTTGTTTACGAAAAGTTCACTAACATTACTGCGAAGGCACGAATTCGTACTTGCTCTGGCGACATGCGCTACCAGGCACGAAAACTATACCATTTCTTACTTCGAAAGTTTTTCTTGACATTTACACGTGTACTACGCCCTCGGTAGGAAAAATAGCATTCACCACATAATCACCATCCAATCGGACCTAGTAGACCTACGGTCCCTGGGGCTGCAAAATAGTCTCGGTGATGATGGCGATTGTAGGACGAAAACTACCATTACTCACTAAAAATTACAGCGTAATATAAAAAATGTTGTTGCACGGTTAGACTGATTAATTGCTATCACTTTAAAAAATGTCAGTTGTTCTATTTCATCAAAATCTAATCTCGATATCCTGGCAGACTTGAATACGTTTATGTCCTATATCCTTACGTTATACGATACGCTTTGTATGATAATTTAGTGGAATTTAATAAAAACTCAAATGTAAGATCAATCGGTCTGAATATGAATAATAATAATAATAATAATAATCATCAACAACTTATTTTCTATCTTAAGATTAGTGAATAAATTTTTTTCGAAAAAAATTTTTCATCATACGTGAAACTTTTTGGAGATTTCGATATATACAATAAATTGGATATTATGTATGTCAATTTTTTTACAACTGGAATAAACTTTGTATAAGGTGTTACACTTTTTTTCTAATAATATTAAAAGACACTTACTCCATATAATATCATATTCGAAAAGAGAAAAATTATTATTTTCACCAATTTTTTTTATTTTTCTTGCTTTATCGAAAAGCCTTGAGATTTACAGACTGATCAATAAAGAAAACACACGTATACGAATATTACACATGCAAGTTAAAGTACAATTAAACGCGTGCGTTGCTGTTGTACTCCATAATGGTCTTGTAGTTAAAAGCAATTTTAGTGTTTTTAATAAAAAATGAGCTGACAAGTAACAGCTTCAGTGCTTGGAAAAAAGGTTAGTTTTAAGTTGGACGAATGACAAAGGCGTGTTATACAAGATGAGCTCAAAAGTATTGAATAATTTTCATGAGGACAGAAATACCAAGATAATTCGGAATTTCTTCATTCTGATAGGCTTATGGTGTGATAGACCTAAATTCGAAAAAAGAATTTGTATATTTTTTGTATCGATGATACTGATGACTGGTCAAATGGCTTCGGTAAGTAGAGGTTTTGATTATTCGTGTATCTTATTACAAACATATAATGTGCGTGCACAGGAAAAATATTTTTAGTATAAGTGAGACTACGTATCCTTGATGTAACCTGAGCCAAAAGCAAAGGCTGTGAATACTATGCACGAAATTAAAAAGATAGGCTTCTGTTATCTCCGTAACGTTGGGCGTATTCAGTAAAATTTTGGGCTTTTGTAACACTTCGAAAGTTACTTAAGTTTATTAACAAGTAAAAATAGAGCGCTGGCCGATGATTTTTTTTCAGTGATAAAAGATATTCCACGCACTTGTAGAAACTAAAAAAAGTATCTGTAATGGCAATAATAATTTTAATAATAAAAAGGCATAAAAAATTTTAAATACTTATAACAGAACCTATAACTAGTACTTATAGCTCTTAGTTCTGGGGATTCTGTCAGACTGCCAGGAATACTTGTTTAGAAGAATATTTTTTTTTTTTTTTCACCATTTTATAAAAAATGTGCTCCTGTATGAAAAAGTAATGTTTGCTAGATGCCAATTTTGTTAGTAATTTAAACAACCATTTTTGAAACAAATTGGAAATATCTACTATAAAAAAATCATAGTATATTCTTTTACATTATCCTATACCACAGGCGTTTTTGAGAGGCTGGTGTGCCCTCGGTACAGGAAAACTACTATTTTTTAAAATTTTCAGTACAAAACAAAGTGTATTTTTCATAACATCTATAACTGTTATACTTCAAATTTTGTTCACACGTACAACGTAAAAATGTTTTTTCATAAGATCTAAACTTTTTTATTCAAGATCGTGACTACAAACGTAATGTAGCAAAATTAGATGCCATAAGTGGAATTTTTTTTTTTCAATCAATTTTTACTATAGCAGTGTTACGGCACCATTGCAGAGAAACACGTATTAACAAAAAAGTTTTTTTTTAACGAGCTCTTTAACTTTTGTACGTAACTCTTTATTGTAGAATTCCAATTTTTTTCTTTCGTAAGCAAAAACATATTGGTATAATGACTTGAGTTTGTCAAAAAATATTATTATCTACACACATGCCTACATGCGCCATGTGACTAACTCGGATCACCATCATACTAGGTTCCAAACTATTGGTAATAACAACATACATCATCGGAGACTCTTGCGTTTATCAATCAATGCGTGAAATTAAAATTTATTACATAACTTTTTGCATGTAATTAAAAGTATATGAAAAAATCCACAAAAAATATTTCGTTTTTGTCCCCCATTTAAATAAAAAATTTTTTTTGAGTCACACCCTTGAAGTTGGGCTCGTTTTACTCGTTATGTCATGTACTGTGAGGAAAAAATTTTGAACACGAGGCTTAGTGAGGGTGACACCCTTTTTCCGCAATTTACATGTTAATATTACATCGGTATATACTATCTATTTTTTTTTTTTTTTATGAAAATGAGAGTAAAAAATGGGAAATTATTTGTGGATTTCCTCATATACGTTTATAACTTTCTATGGATAAAATTTCGTGGGATAAAAGTTTTATGTATTCTATTTTTCAGTTGTTGGGTGCAATACACTATTGGAATGGTGATTTCTTGTTATGGACTGAAAATTTTATTCTTTTCATGTACTTGTCAGCAGTTTTAACATATTATTACTACACTACACAAGTTGAAGAAAAGGTACTTACGCAAAATTGTTGTTAAATGTCTAATTGTTCTCATGTATATAATTTTAATCAATTATAAATTTTATTTCTGTAAAGCAACGCATATTTCTTAGGACTTTAGCAACTATTTGGATATCACTTGATGGTCATCATGAAAAAGCTATTGTGATGAAACATGCGGATTTTGGATTATATTTGATAAAGCTTATATCTTGTCATTATTTAATAATAATTTATTGTATATGAAAGTAAACTTTTGAATGGTGTTTAATTATAATTATTTACAGATTTACTGGTAATAGGCATGATAATGGCTGTTCAGTCATCGTTAATACCAGTGTATTTAGACTTGATTATACCGTTAGATGAACCTCGTCCAAAGATTTTCTTAATAAAAATATATTTTATTACGGATCCAAACAAACATTATTATCCACATTATTTTGCATGTTTGGCTCTTATGACTCTAGCTGATTACATCGTAGTAACTGCTGTTTTTTTTTTTTTAA